TTACCATCCAAAATTTGCTGAAATTTTATTGAATCCATTTTTCCTTCTGCTCGTGAGATGTTCCCTGTGCCACTGGCTGCAACACAACCCCAAAGCATGATTGATCCAACCCCATGCTTAACAGTTGGACAGAGGTTCTTTTCATTAAATTCTGTGCCCCTTCTTCTCCAAACGTACCTTTGCTTATTCGGGCCAAAAAGTTCAATTTTAACCTCATCGGTCCACAGAACTTGTTTCCAAAATGCATCAGGCTTGTCTAAATGTTCATTTGCAAAGTTCAAACGATGATTTTTGTGGTGAGGACATAGAAGAGGTTTTCTTCTGATGACTCTTCCATGAAGACCATATTTGTACAAGTATCTCTTTATAGTGGAATAGTGTACCACAACTCTAGTGTCTGCCAAATCTTTCTGGAGGGATTGTGCAGTCAAACGTGGGCTTTGAATAGTTTCTCACAATCCTGTGAGCTGTTCTGTCTGATATTTTTCTTGGTCTTCCAGATCTTGCTTTAACTTCCACTGTTCCTGATGACTGCCATTTCCTAATTACATTCCGAACAGAGGATATTGACATCTGAAAACGCTTTGCTATCTTCTTTATAGCCTTCTCCAGCTTTGTGAGCGTCAACTATTTTCAGTTTCAGTTTTCTAGACAACTGCTTAGAAGACCCCATGGTGCTGATTGTTGGGGCAAGGTCAGATGAGTCTGGGCATTTAAAACCTTTGAGATTGACATCATCTGGTCTTCCCAGACGATGATTGAGAACAATCCATGACACTGGCAGGTCTCAGCTTTGCAAAGGGGGCAGTACAAGATATTAACTCTGCAGGGTGCCCAAACTTTTGCAGACGCCATTTTTTTGTTTTCTGTTATTTTGAAAGTGTAAATGATGTAAATAAAATTTAACTTTTGTTGACATATTATAAGAATGTCTAATCTGTAATTTGATGCCTTTTGGAGATTTTTCCATCTTTCCTTGGCTTCTTTATGCACATTAATACAAATTTTTAGCTGGGGTGTCCAAACTTTCGATCCCCACTGTACCTGTCCCTTGGTCCAGCATTGTCCTCACCACTGCTGGTTTCAGCGGCCGTCTTCTCTCCCAGGTGCCGGCACCTTCAGTGTGGACACCCGGCTGTGACAGCTTGCAGCTTCACAACCGGCACGAGAAGCGCTGCAAATTGTGAATGGCCCCGTAGTCTTCTGGGACCTGTCATGTGTTCTAGCAGACTATGGGGAGGGAAGACATCTCCCGCTACCGATCACCTTAGGCGATCACAGTGGAAGTGGGAGAGGGTACCTGTCAAATTTGGGTACCCGCTCCCCAAAGGTGCCATTCCTTAATGGGGAGCGGAGGACAAAGCATTAAGGAGGAACTTGCCCCTTTGGGTGGAACTCCGCTTTAAGTTTGAGCTTTTTTTGGAGCTTCAGCCTGGGTTCACATATATGCGGTGCGGTAAATTGCATGTGATTCGCACAGGAAACCCACCGCATTCCTGTGCAAATCACATTCGATTTGTGTGTGGTGCAATTAGAACCATACATTTTATATGGCTCTAATCACACAGCACCCGCACCAAAAATATGCAGGACCCTTTTTTTCGGTCCGCACTAGAATCGGATTGCATGGGTATTCACACCTATGCGATCTGATTCTGCACATCTCACAGCATTTTCTGGACCACTTTCAGGGTGTAACTTAACATACACACCCGCAGCGGTTCACATGAACGGGGTCCGATCCTGATGCATTGCGGAATTCGCACTGAAAACGCTGCAAATTCCGCACCGCATCAGTGTAAACCAGGGCTCAAGCTACAAAATGCTCACGTGTGAATGAAGCCTAATGCTGGCCATACATGGGTCAAAATTTGTCCGATTTTTAAGAATAATTGCTCGATTTTTGCTCTGTTAGTGGGTCAATGGCACCGGCCGATTTTCGTGGTTCCTCCCCTTTTTGGTGATCGAGCACGTTGGAAAATTCATGAAAAACTACTGATTTTCGACTCGATGGTCAAATCGTACGATTGTTTTTCTGAAAAGAATATGCGCATGAGCCATGACCTAAAAGGAACAGACGTTTCGCCTGTTATATGGGGTGAACGTTATGACTTGGTCGGCCGATTTTCGAAATCATTGATGGCACCATCGCATTACCGAGCAAATGACGTTTTCGAACGAAAAATTGTTGGGAATTTGACCCATGTATGGCCTGCATAAGGAGGATGAATCTTGCAGCAGCATTCATAGGTAAGCCAACGAGGAGGGAGGAGTTGTTTTGACATTACATATTGTAACACCATTTTATTCTCTAGGGCAGTGATGGCGAACCTTTTTGAGCCCGAGTGCCCAAACTGCAACCCAAAACCAACTTATTTCTTTCAAAGTGCCAACACTGCAATGAAACCTGAATATCGAGCTTTTGGTTTAGAAAAAACAACTCGTACAGTAGTGCAAACTAATTAACAGTACAGGGATGACCAGAGACTGCGGACACAGTACAGGGATGACCAGAGACTGCGGACACAGTACAGGGATGACCAGAACTGCGGACAGTACAGGGATGACCAGAGACTGCGGACACAGTACAGGGATGACCAGAGACTGCGGACACAGTACAGGGATGACCAGAGACTGCGGACACAGTACAGGAGATGACCAGAGACTGCGGACACAGTACAGGAGATGACCAGAGACTGCGGACACAGTACAGGAGATGACCAGAGACTGCGGACAGTACAGGGATGACCAGAGACTGCGGACAGTACAGGGATGACCAGAGACTGCGGACACAGTACAGGGATGACCAGAGACTGCAGACACAGTACAGGGATGACCAGAGACTGCAGACACAGTACAGGGATGACCAGAGACTGCGGACAGTACAGGGATGACCAGAGACTGCAGACACAGTACAGGGATGACCAGAGACTGCAGACACAGTACAGGGATGACCAGAGACTGCAGACACAGTACAGGAGAAGACCAGAGACTGCGGACAGTACAGGGATGACCAGAGACTGCGGACACAGTACAGGAGATGACCAGAGACTGCGGACACAGTACAGGGATGACCAGAGACTGCGGACACAGTACAGGGATGACCAGAGACTGCGGACACAGTACAGGGATGACCAGAGACTGCGGACAGTACAGGGATGACCAGAGACTGCAGACACAGTACAGGGATGACCAGAGACTGCAGACACAGTACAGGGATGACCAGAGACTGCGGACAGTACAGGGATGACCAGAGACTGCAGACACAGTACAGGGATGACCAGAGACTGCAGACACAGTACAGGGATGACCAGAGACTGCAGACACAGTACAGGAGAAGACCAGAGACTGCGGACAGTACAGGGATGACCAGAGACTGCGGACAGTACAGGAGATGACCAGAGACTGCGGACAGTACAGGAGATGACCAGAGACTGCGGACACAGTACAGGAGATGACCAGAGACTGCGAACAGTACAGGAGATGACCAGAGACTGCGGACACAGTACAGGAGATGACCAGAGACTGCGGACACAGTACAGGGATGACCAGAGACTGCGGACACAGTACAGGGATGACCAGAGACTGCGGACACAGTACAGGGATGACCAGAGACTGCGGACAGTACAGGGATGACCAGAGACTGCGGACAGTACAGGGATGACCAGAGACTGCGGACAGTACAGGGATGACCAGAGACTGCGGACACAGTACAGGAGATGACCAGAGACTGGGGACACAGTACAGGGATGACCAGAGACTGCGGACAGCACAGGGATGACCAGAGACTGCGGACAGCACAGGGATGACCAGAGACTGCGGACAGCACAGGGATGACCAGAGACTGCGGACAGCACAGGGATGACCAGAGACTGCGGACAGCACAGGGATGACCAGAGACTGCGGACAGCACAGGGATGACCAGAGACTGCGGACAGCACAGGGATGACCAGAGACTGCGGACAGTACAGATGACTGCTGACCTTTGGGGAGGGAGGGGGAGCGGGTACCTGAATTTGACAGGTACCCGCTCTTACTTCCGCAGAGTTTTTTTTTTTATCTTACCTGTTCCTCGATCCAGCCGCGCGTGGTCTTCCCGGCTTCTGTAGTGTGGGCGCTCGTCGGACAGCCGGATGCCCAGTGCGAATGCTCGAGAAGCGCTGCGCTTTGTGATTGGTCCGGCGGCTTCTGGGATCTGTCATGTGTCCCAGGTACCGCCTTACCATTCACAAGGAGCACTGCTTCTTGTGCATGCGCACTTGGGACCCGGCTGTCACGCACACTACAGCCGGGAAGACAGCGCGCCGCTGGATTCTCCTGGCGTGCCCACAGATAAGGCTCGGCGTGCCGGCTGTGGCACGCGTGCCACGGGTTCGCCATCACTGCTCTAGGGCCTCTGCTTAAAAATATATCATGTTTGGGGGTCCTATGCAGGGTCGGACTGACAACTCATGGGGCCCCCGGGCAATAGGGGATCATGGGGCCCCTGTGTCCTGGCCCAAACTCAAAAAAGTCTATGAAAAAGGTACCAGGAGTATCTCATGGGGCCCCCTACTGACCCCGGGCCCTCAGGCAGTGCCCGAGTTTCCAAATGGTCAGTCTGCCCCTGGTCCTATGTAATGTTCTAGCAAACAATAAGAAAGCCCTGATTTTTCCATGTAGGAGAGAAGTGTCAGAACCGGCTTGGTCTTGAAGTGGCTCGTTTTGTAGCTCCACATTACAGAGGTGAATGGGTCCTATTGTAGGCTAGCCCCTGTGGTCCCACCACAGCCTGTAGGCACCGGCGGTTATGTATTGTACACACTCCATGTACACCACAGCCAATGAATGAACCCTCTAGTAATATCTTAGTGTGACCCGCTAAGCAACCTGTCATTCGCCGGCAAGGACAACCTGACCATTCTCTGCCTGTCAGCGGCCCCCTCACGGCTTCCGCATTGGCCAGATCAACGGCGGGCGCTGTAGGATTGGCTGGCGGTTGTCATGGTAGGCAGAGGCGGGGCTTGTGTATTCCAGGCATGGAGCGGCAGGCAGGGTCGGGGTTGGCTGTTCGGAGGTCCCGGCACAATGTGGTGGCTTCGGGTCACGGGAACCGGCGGGAGGAGAACAGTGGTAATGAGCGGAAGACGCGGAGCTGGGGGTTGGTGTTCGGAGCGGGGGTGCCTGTCGTGCTCTTCCTCTATGTGCTCGGGATAAGAGGACTGGTGCACCTCTCACTGCGACAACTGGTCACCCCGGGCGCCCGCACCGGGCACTTCAACGGTACCACTGCCAGGTGAGGGGAGCTCCGGGGTCAGTCACCTCTGTGGGGAGTGACAGGGCCAGCCTGTGCATTATGGAGGACTTCCTCTGGGTTTCCTGTAGGCAGGGACGCTTCACATTGATTTCCTGCTAGTCCTGGGCTCCATTCATTACACGGCTGACCTTCCACATATATTCAGCACCGTAAAGCGGCCTGACCGGGGAGGGCTGTGTTCACTATGGTAGGATCATGAATGGAGAAGGAAGCAGCTTCACTGTCACCTGGCAGCCCTTTACATAGCATTTTGTATCTCTTTTCAGCTTGTAACAACTTTGTAATAACTGTAACCATTTACCACTGACAGGGTTTCTTTTTTATGTGCACTGGGTGACAACCCTTCACTCGTTTGTAGCCTGATCCAAAAGACAGGTGGATCCAATTTATACTTCATTCACAAGGCTGTAAGAAAACGCATATACGTGTCATTACGGATCGGAACGCAGCTGCATTCGTTTCAATGGAGACATTCACACAGGTGTATAAACATGCGCTGCGTTCAGATCCACAAGGTTTCATTCACACATCTGTAAAACAAAACTGCATATACGTGTGTTTTTTCATTAGGGATCAGGACATAGATGCATTGTTTTCAGTGGAGACATTCACGCAGGCGCATAAACGTACGCTGCATTCAGATCTGTAAGGTTTCATTCACAGGGCTGTAAAAAAAAAACGCATATACAAGATTTTTTCATTACGGATCGAAACAAAGCTGCATTCTTTTTAATGGAGACATTCACACAGGTGCGTAAACATACACTGTGTTCAGATCTGTAAGGTTTCATTCACACAGCTTTAAAAAAACGCACATACAAGTGTATTTTTTCATTACGTATCAGAACGAAGCTGCATTCTTTTTAGTGGAGCCATTCACACAGGTGCGTAAACATGCGCTGTGTTCGGATCCTTAAGGTTTTGCATGGCCTTAAAAAAACACGTGTGTTTTCATATCGGATCGCAAATGCATTGTTTTCAATGGAGACATTCACACAGGTGCATAAACTTGCACTGCATTCAGATCTGTAAGGTTTCATTCACAGGGCTGTAGAAAAAAACGCATGTACGAGTGTTTTTTTTTCATTACGGATCGGAACGCAGCTGCATTCTTTTCAATGGAGACATTCACACAGGTGCATAAACGTGCGCTGTGTTCAGATCCACAAGGTTTAATTCACACAGCTGTAAAAAAAAAACGCATATACGTGTGTTTTTTCTTTACGGATTGGAACATAGATGCATTGTTTTCAGTGCAGACATTCACACAGGTGCATAAACTTGCGCTGCATTCAGATCTGTAAGGTTTCATTCACAGGGCCGTAGAAAAAAACCGCATGTGCGAGTGTTTTTTTTTTCATTACGGATCGGAATGCAGCTGCATTCTTTTCAATGGAGACATTCACACAGGTGCATAAACATGCGCTGCGTTCAGATCCACAAGGTTTCATTCACACAGCTTTAAAAAAAACGCATATACGTGTGTGTTTTCATTACGGATCAGAACATAGATGTATTGTTTTCAGTGCAGACATTCACACAGGTGTATAAACTTGCGTTGTGTTCAGATCCACAAGGTTTCATTCAAACAGCTGTAAAAAAACATATACCTGTTTTTGTTCTTTACAGATCAGAACGCAGCTGCATTCCTTTCAATGCAGACATTCACACAGGTGCATGAACGTGCGCTGTGTTCAGATCCACAAGGTTTCATTCACACAGCTTTAAAAAAAATGCATATACAAATGTTTTTTTCATAACGTATAAGAATGCAGCTGCATTCTTTTCAGTGGAGCCATTCACACTGGTGCGTAAACATGCGCTGTGTTCAGATCCATAAGGTTTTGCATGGCCATAAAAAAAAAAACGCATATATGTGTGTTGTTTTAATTACGGATCAGATCGCAGATGCATTGTTTTCAATGAAGACATTCACACAGGTGCATAAACATGCGCTGTGTTCAGATTCACAAGGTTTCATTCACACAGCTGTAAAAAAAAAAAAACCTGCATATACGTCCGTTTTTTCATTACGGATCGGAACATAGATGCATTGTTTTCAGTGCAGACATTCACACAAGTGCATAAACTTGCGCTGCATTCAGATCTGTAAGGTTTCATTCACATGGCTGTAGAAAAAAACGCATATACGTGTGTGTTTTCATTATGGATTGGAACGCAGCTGCATTCTTTTCAATGGAGACATTCAGACAGGTGCTTAAACATGCGCTGTGTTCAGATTCACAAGGATTCATTCACACAGCTGTAAAAGAAACCCGCATATACAAATGTTTTTTTCATTACGTATAACAGTGTTTCTCAACTCCAGTCCTCATGGACCCCCAGCAGGTCATGTTTTCAGGATTTCCCTCAGATGAAACAGCTGTGGTAATTACTAAGGCAGTGAAACTGATCAAATCACCTGTGCAAAATAATGGAAATCCTGAAAACATGACCTGTTGGGGGTCCATGAGGACTGGAGTTGAGAAACACTGACGTATAAGAACGCATCCGCATTCTTTTCAGTGGAGCCATTCACACTGGTGCGTAAGCATGCGCTGTGTTTAGATCCATAAGGTTTTGCATGGCCATAAAAAAAAACGCATATATGTGTGTTGTTTTAATTACGGATCGGATCACAGATGCATTGTTTTCAATGAAGACATTGACACAGGTGCATAAACATGCTCTGTGTTCAGATCTGTAAGGTGTCATTCGTACTTTATGTGGGTTTTAATGCTCTATGTGGCTGAATGTAAACATCTTCCTGCACTCCCTGCATGCTTCAAGCACAGTTACCAATGGGTACCTGGAAGCTTTTGATGCATACTTGCAAATCGGGAGCTTTTTGCCTATGTGACTGCCAGTCACAGCGGTTACATGATTGAAATGCCTGCTTCTGCCTCCCTGCATTTAGAACCTCTTAAGGACTTGTTCACAGTTGACTCAAAATGATAGCTTTTAACAAACACACATATAGAATGCGTGTTAATAGGTGCGTTTGACTCACATTTAACGCATGCTAAAAAACACTTCCCAAACGCCTGTATTTATTTTTGGCGCACTTCACATGCGTTAATGGCATGTGACAACCGTACCACAAACGCCTATAATACACTGTAATGTTATTCACGCGCCACAACTGCACCACAAACTCCTGCCAAGCCTGTTTGCGGAATGTTTTCATAGACTTTAAGGGTAGACGTTCAGTGAGGGGTTCACATATATGCGGTGCAGTATATCACATGTGATTCGCACAGGAACCTTCCTGTACAAATCACATGCGATTTGTGTGCGGTGCGATTGGAGCCATACATTTTGTATGGCTCTAATCGCACCGCACCCGCACCAAAAACGTGCAGGACCCTTTTTTGGGTCCGCACTAGAATCGGATCGAATGGGTATTCACACCTATGCGATCCGATTCTGCACATCACACTGCGTTTTGTGGACTGCTTTTGGGGTGTTGTTAACATACACACCCGCAGCAGTTTGCATGAACAGGGTGCGATTCCGATGCTGTGCAGAATTCGCACAGAAACCACTGCAAATTCCACACTGCATCAGTGGGAGCCAGGGCTCAGACTCAACATGAAGCTTCAGTTTTGAAGCGAAGCAACACTAAAGCTTCATGTTTTGATAATGTGAACAGCACTGTGTGCTCTCCATGTTCTCATTTGCATAGGCATTTGAGGAGTGTTAAAAACACCCCTGACATGCCTGCTTTCAATGCCAGTGTGAACTAGGCCTAAAGACCCAAAAGGCTGCAATGGGAAGGGGTTATTTACAGATCTGAACATAGCTGCATTGTTTTCAATGGAGTCATTCACACAGGTGCATAAACCTGAGCTGCTTTCAGATCCATAACAGAGTATCCAAACATTTGTGTCTAGGAAAAGGGACCCTCCGCATATAAATGCCTGTATATGCATTTGTAAATGAGTAAATTAAAGCAGTTGTAAATTTTAGTGATCGTAAAAGCATTTTCAAAGTGTTACTAAAATCAGTCTGTATATGCTGTAAAGCATGCTTGTTATACTCACTGGGGAACCTAAGGGGTTAATCATCTGCATTGTGTAAACAGGATATTTGATCCTGTCTTCTCTGATCCTCCCCTTCTACTGTCCCCAGTCCATCTCCTGATAGAACAGAGCCTTGGGGGCAGGCTGCACATGTGTATTCTTGGGAGGGTGCACGTGATCAGCACAGGGACAATCAGTGCTGTCATGACAGAGGGTCAGGGGTTATGCAGCCTCAAAGGACAATCGGGAGAATGAGAACTCCTCCTACAAGCTTTAACCAGTACTCAGCTGGACACTGATAGAAGTTACAAGACTGTTGCATACTGCTGATGAGATAAGGTATTTAGCAGTTTATATTTACTAAAATAATTGCATTTCCACGTTTTGTGTACTGTGGGAGACCAGATATAGTGAATGCAGGGTCCTGGGTTAAATAACACTTTATTTATTTAGCTAAATATACCCCTTTATTCTTCCCAAGGATACATTTTTAAAAACGCTTGCCTTTAATATATTTTTTTGTCTTATAAAGTGCAGGTCCCTTGATCGTTGCTGATTCCTGAGCGATTTATGGACCTACTGGTGGGTGTATAGAGCAGCTCCAGACATTCCTCCTCTCTGCAATGTCAGACATGTCTGCCCCACTCTTTACACAGCTGTGAATCAACAGTGATCACATGACCTGCCAGTGGGTGTGTATAGAGCGGGGAACACATGCCTGACATGTCTGGGAGGCAGCTTCACAAAGTGGAGAGGAGGAGGAGGAGCAGCTGTAGGGCAATGCCAGAGGGATGGACGGGGGGGGGGGGGGGAATGTTTTGCCCTGACTCCGAAAAGATACAGGCATGCTGTATGATTACACAGCATGCCTGTATCTAAGTGCGGAATGACACAGGACATAAACTGACCACACTAGAATGGATAGTCTGCCATGTTTAATGTGGTCAGTTTGCTATC